ACGAGGTGGTGAGGGAGCTCAGGTGTCCTTTCAGAGTGCACTTGGGGCTCAGTGCTGTCAGGGGCAGTTCTAACCATTCCTCTGCTCACTATGGTCAGTTGCTTCTGTCCTTGTCAATGGGATTTTGGAAAGGCAGTGGCAGCGACAGATCATCCCACTCTGTGCATCCCCCCTCCACCCCCAGAGGAGGATAAACAGAGGGGAGAGAAAGGGAAACGGACAGTCAGGGTTGTTGGGGGAGAGAAAGCGAGGGGTAAGGAGTTAGCAGGAGAGAGAGGACGGGGGAGATGACGGTTGGTATTTTGATGCTAAAGTGATTCGACATGCTTGGCATTATAGCTGGCTTGGTGGTGGGGGAAGGGAGAGGCAGTGGAAACGAGCACTTGTATCCGAATGTCAATGAAGCCGATCTCATGAAGTGGAAGGTCAAAAATGTATCACTTGCCACCTCACCTCGTGCAGGCTCCGCCCTTGGACTCCTGCAAAGGGCAAAACAAGAATTGATGGGTGTAGGTTAGAGAACGAAAGGCCAGAGAGGTCTGTAAAAAAATGTCTGTTTGTATGTGTGTGTATGAGGATGGTGGGTGGAGGCAGGGTGGCAGAACTCTGATATCTCAATGTCACATGTCCCCACTGCACAGCAACAGGCCCATCCGAGTGTGCTAATGCAGGCCAGCACATGCTGGGATGTGAAAGGTGGAGGGAGAAGTGTTTGCAATCCTCCGTGCTTTCTCCACAGAGAGCCACTTCCTGAGGTGCATGGAGAAAGCAATTGACGGAGTGATGGTAATGCAGTGCCTAATGGAAATGTCTTGTTGGGACATGGTGTTGGTCTGAGAAGCTGGTGGCCCTCTAGGAACTGGCTTTAGCAGCACTAAAGCTTTAGCCCCTGTTTTGCCAAACAAACAGAACAACAACTGAGATGACGTCTCATGAAGACCATGGTAATTGGTTTGATTATGAGCAAAATCAAAGTATTAAAGCTAGATTATTACAATTAACATCCCAGTTCCATCCCTCAGTTATGTACTCAGCAGAGACTAGAAGAGCAGGAACATAATCATGCAAACACTGAAACACTTTGGTCAGATTACTCAATCATTGTGGTTGATGGCTCAACAAGCAAGCTGGTGGACTTTGTGCACCTAAAATGCCATAAATTGAATTAACAGCCATACTCTTACCCACTGTCTTTGGGCTCTGAGTGCTGGGCAGACCTGGGGCATTGTTGCAGAAAGTTGACCTTTGGTGTCTGCCCGTGCAGACGGGTCAGTCAATGTGACTGTGATGGAGTAGGGACAGCGCACCAAACGCCATGGGGGCATTGTGTCCAAAAGTCCATTACAGTCACTGACAATGAGCTAATCGACTGGTGTAGTTGTGCAGCAGTGGTGGCATGACTTTATACAGAGGACGGGCAAAGGAAGAGTCATATTAAGAGCTGGTGGCAGAGTCGGTGAAAGATTGCAGAGTGAGAGTTTAAACTTGATGGTTTAGCATTGACACACCATCGGATGTTATTTATCAGATGGTTTTGCTGTGCGGTTCAGTTAGCCAGACCTTTATGAATCACTATAACAAGTTCACAAACATGTGGGGAGATTGAAAGGGGCAAGCTAAAGCAGCGCAATGAGATAAATTAAAATGGGTAATGTTTAAAAAATGCAGCAGATCCAAAACAAGTGCCACGTGCTCATAGGTGCCTGTGTTTGATTTAGAGTAGTGGAGAAAAGAATGAGGTCATTCATTATACAGAAATTGGAAACAGTCACCGGTCCAGTCTTCTCTGTAATATTGTTTTGTGTTTTTTAGGGGCATAGGGAGGTGGGGTTTGGGTGGGTAGTCAAAACAAGACAAGGCATATTAAGGCAATCATTGTAAGTTCTGCTGTTTTGTTTTTCTCCTTTTCTGACACTTAATATGTGTCACGGGTGTCATATCACATCTTATCCTCTCATGGCTGAAGTAAGAAGGAGTTAATCATTTACACAAGTTTTGCGCTAGATATTATGAAATAATCTAGAAGACGTGGGGCATTTAGTGGTCATCTATTAATGCTGGTCAAGTTAAGAGCTCCTCAGCATCAGAACAAGAGCTTAGTGCCAGAAAGAAAAGCACTGCAGGCCTAATGCTTTGCTTTTTCCAGGATCAGTCGCTGTATAGCTATGGGTGTCTTTGCGTGCTTGTATTTATGTCTCTGGACTCAAATGTGCATGTACACCTGCATTGATGTGCTGATGTACTGTATCTATTGTATTTACAATGTTGTGTTCCTTTCATCTCTTTGCCAGCTGTGACAGATTGCATTTTAGATTTAGCGTGTACCATTCAGGGGAGTGATTAGAACGAGCTGAGCCCTCACATTATTTAACCCCAACCGTCCACTCCCAATACCCGCATCCGAAATGACTTGTTTGGTTGCCTTGCTGTGATTTGGTTTTCACCCTTCTATGTGAAGTGTTCATCGGGATGCGATTTTATAGGACATCTATGTCAAAGGCAAAATGAGCGGCAGCAGCTGCCTGTAACCCAAGCTGATAATGAGCGTGTATTTGTGTTTATTTAACACCCTCCCCGCCATCTGTTCCATGTATTGTGATACACAGACGGGGCACGTGTGTGTGAGCCTGGTGATTACACAACAGCCGGGCTAGTTTTGTGGTGGCACTGTCTCATCCGACACCATTATTCAGACTTCGCTCAGTGGCACGACGCGCAAATCGAAACAAGACAACCAAACAGACTATTGAGTGTCAAAAACGCATGTATCAAAAGAGAGAGACACAGAAAAGCTGCACACAGAGTGTAAGTTTTATGCTGGTGTGCGCGCGGATGCATACACCAGCATAAACACTTGGAGATGTGCTGAATGTGAGCTGAAGTATCTATAGACATCATCATGTTTAATACAACAACAGCTTGCTGTGCTTTCTGGCCTCCATCTGCCTTGCCAGAGGTCACAAGGGTTAAAGGAGCATTTAGGGCTCATGGAAAAACAAACAGGTCTATTATCACCGGTTTTGTTTTGCTGTTATTCAAGCATTTTTGCTTCTGACTACCTGTCCACATAATGGTTATTTTTGAACGCAACACAATTAGTATGTGGGAGTGCAAAAATTAATGCCTAACCACAGCAGTCCTGCAGGTTACATAATGAGCACAACCCTATTCTCTGAGCAGCATGCTAAAAAGTGTATTTAACAGTTTTACAGCACTTTGTTATCTCACTGCATGAATTATGACTTAAGATATTGATATTATCTGAAGAAAGTATGAGAGGTTAACTTTGACCTGCTCTCGGTGTTGTGAAACTGTGTTATTGATCTTGTATTTCCCAGAATGTGACCTAATATTTGTCACAAAACCTTATGCAACCTGTAGATATATACTCCCTTTTACTTATACTGTCTTGTTTACAAAAAGATTTCTGACATGTTCTGTACTTTCACAAAAGCAGATTTCACATATACTGTACGTTACTTTTAAAAGTAAGCGCAGGTTTCTGTGAAATGAGGGTTAATATCTAACTTTAGAACATGTTACATTATTTAAATATGATCATTGGCAAGTTCTGTTAGTAAAAAATAAATTTAAAAAAATTTAAAAAAAGATCATAGTCTAAAATCAACATCAGGGAGATCATGTCTGACATCATGTTTGCAGTGGTTGCAGAGTTTTTTTTACTTCATGTTTGATCCACTACACTAAGGGTAAATAAAAAATAAAAGGAAGTTTTTCTGTTTAAAATTTTAATCGTCAGGTCCAAAACAAGATTACTGACCTTACTGTGTATTGTTGCTCAGAACTGCAACAGTGCATTGTTGAAGGCAGGAAACACGATGAACAGGTTGCTAATCCATCATGGGGCTACCTTATTGCTTTTATTAGATACTAGTTATATCAGGGCGCAATTTTGAACAACAACCCCTGAAGACTGATGTATGGTAGTGTTTATACACAATTGCAAATTTGCTGGTGTCAACGTAACAAAGAATCCAAAAAGACGCAAAAAAAATACTTTTGCCTTGTAAAGTTAAAAAAAAAAACATGCTAAAGATGGAATTCTTCTGACATGAGCAAATAATCTGTTATGGCTTTCCAGGTGTTTTCTGTAGCTCTGGATCATTACGTCAGACATCAACAGGATCTTAAGACAAAAACAGCAGCAGCAGTAAAATAAAGCAGTAAAATATAATTTTTTTTTTCAATTTCAATTCAATTCAATTTTATTTATATAGCGCCAAATCACAACACGCCTCAAAGCGCTTTATATTATTAGGTAGACCCTACAATAATACATACAGAGAAAAACCTAACAATCGAATGAACCCCTATGAGCAAGCACTTTGGCGACAGTGGGAAGGAAAAACTCCCTTTTAACAGGAAGAAACCTCCGGCAGAACCAGGCTCAGGGAGGGGCGGCCAACTGCTGCGACCGGTTGGGGTGAGAGAAGGAAGACAGGATAAAAAAAAGCCGGGGAAAAAAAAAAAAAGGTAAAAAAAAAAAAGAATCAAAGCAGAGAGGTCTATTAATACATAGTGAGTGAGAAAGGTGACTGAAAAGGAAAAACTCAATGCATCATGGGAATCCCCCAGCAGCCTACGTCTATTGCAGCATAACTAAGAGAGGATTCAGGGTCACCTGGTCCAGCCCTAACTATATGCTTTAGCAAAAAGGAAAGTTTTAAGCCTAATCTTAAAAGTAGAGATAGTGTCTGTCTCCCGAATCCAAACTGGAAGCTGGTTCCACAGAAGAGGGGCCTGAAAACTGAAGGCTCTGCCTCCCATTCTACTTTTAAATACTCTAGGAACAACAAGTAGGCCTGCAGAGCGAGAGCGAAGTGCTCTAATAGGGTGATATGGTACTACAAGGTCATTAAGATAAGATGGGGCCTGATTATTTAAGACCTTGTATGTGAGGAGCAGGATTTTGAATTCAATTCTGGATTTAACAGGAAGCCAATGAAGGGAAGCCAAAACAGGAGAAATATGCTCTCTCTTTCTATTCCCTCTCAGGACTCTTGCTGCAGCATTTTGGATTAGCTGAAGGCTTTTCAGCGAGTTTTCAGGACTTCCTGATAATAATGAATTGCAGTAGTCCATATTAGGACATGCGCAACCACATACTATCTGCTAACATGTATTTGTTAGTGGATAAGTGGATTTCCAAGGAATTGTCACTGATTAGAGTGAATTTAAAGAATGACAAGAAAACATATCAGTGCTCCAAGAAATATTCAAAATGTCCAGTAAGTATGGATGATTGTAAAAACTCCACTGCTGCTTTTATTGGGTGTGCCATATCAAATATTGAAAGATGCCAGGAAAATTTCACATAGCACAGCATGCAGTGAGGCGGACCATCATCTGGATTATTGGCAAAAAAGATTTTACTAAGTAAATGGGGAAAACCCATTTCCCGCACAGATGAAACAACAGTCATGGTGGGATGGGAGGTGAGGCTCTTGCTAATATCATCTGTTGGTGTAGTAATTATTAAAATTCAGTAAATGTGGAGTCTAACATGCAAAACAGGTCTACATGAAGGTGTGTGTATATGACATATTTTCTATTCGGCTGAAGCCCTGTAATGGGAAACATATATATTTATCAAAATGTGATAAAAATAATCTGTGAAGAAATTTGAATCAATGTATTTTTATTCGCTATCTTCTTGTGGATATAATTATTATATTTATGAAGCAATCATAATTTATCAAGCAATATTTGTTCATATGGCTCAGCTAAGATGAAACTGAAGTTCTTCTGTGTTTACCCACCCTGCAGTCTTTTTAGTTGTGCAAATTTATACATAAAGAAAGGTGGAGGAAAATACTTTCAGTCTCTACTTGAACCTACATCCTTACTTCCCCCCCCCCTTCTTTCCATCTCGCTTCCCCTCCTTCCCCGTTTCTTTCCTCTGCCTCTTTTTCTCCATATGATTAGTCCTGAATCATGTTCCAGTGAATGTACTTCTCGGCCAACTAAACTAATAAATACGCTCTACATGATTGATCCTTCTGCCTGTCCTGTTTACATAGTGTGCGCTCCCCTGCGCCAAGAGGCGTTGACCTTTCACACACAGGGCAGCTCACCCTCTTTATCTCGCATCATTGTGCAGCTGATGAGTAGATTGCAGCCAATCAGGTGGGAAGGTTTCGCTTACTATAGCAGAGGAACACACTCAGATCTGCCCGAGTGGGGATGACAGGGGGAAGATGGGATGTTTTCCTCCTCTGTTCACAAAGGAATACTTTCACTGCCCCTGGCAGAAGGCTTCTTTATTAAAGGGACCAGATGTGGCAGACAGCAGTGTGTTGTAATGTAGCCACTGTGTCATGAATCAACTGCTCTGTTGATCTTGTGACCAGCCGTGCCCCCCGGTAAACTCCAGAGTTCAAAGGTTGTCTCTCAAGCTTGTCTCTAATCTGCACTCCAAAAGAGAGGAGAGGTCTAAATTGGCCCTCCGTTGGCATTACACTGGATGTACATTTCTGGGCTCATGTTTGACATTTTCTGGTACTAGCTCACCAGCTGTGAAGGGTTTCATGTTTTTCAAAATGTTGTCCATTTCCAGCTGTCACCTTAGCTTTTTATGGGTATTTTGCACAGCTTTATAGTATGAGGAAGTAGTCAATGACAGTTATTGTTCTTTGAAAATTTGACCCAAAGAGCCCCTTTTTTCCCTCCTTGAAGGAGTGTTAACAGAGAAATAGAATAGCAGTGATACATAGCTCAAATAATGGAAGATCAGTGACACTTCAAACTGTCAAAGTTCTCTGAACTTTGACACAAGCGATTGAAGCAACAACCAGTGGGAGAAGTATACTGTTGATTGACATATGACAGAGTAAGGAAGGTTACCTACACAGAAATGTCTGTTATAGCAGCTGTTAGCGGCAAAGTGATACTTGACGGTGGAAAAAGCCTTACATGTGGAGAAGGTAGGCACACAGTGTTTATTAGACCTGCAGTTCTATGAAACCATTGTAGAAAAAATCTGCTTTCCCTTTCCCACCTCTGCTTTCTCATCTCTGGTTTCCCATCATGACATCAGCTATTCTTCTGACACCATCCAGCCCCCCCAACATTTGACCTGGTGACAAAAGGAGCCTGTCCTTTTCATCTACTTTTAATCTTACCCTCAGTATTAATATGACTACTTTGGACGTTTGCTGCTTTGAACGGAGGTGACCCTCTGCCAGCGGCCAGTCCATTCACATACATATTTGAAGAATGTTTCTGTTTTTTTATTTTTCCTTCTAGCAATCTCCCTAAGGTATGGAGGAAATGGAAAGACTGAGAAGAGCAAAAAAAGAAAGTGAGGGAGAAAGAGAGAGCGGAGATATTCTAGGGGGGGATTGTGGGAACCCACTGATAAAGGCGTGCATCTTAATCCATCCTAAGGCCTGTCTTATGCTGTGCTATAAGCTTTTATGTGATCATTAGGAGTGTGTGCCCTCACGCACATCCACATGCATGCTTTAGGTATAAGTGTGTGTATGTGGCTTTGCATATTTGATATGTTAATGTTCACTAATGCTGTGGTAAAGTCTTTTTGAATCTTGTATATCAAGGCTCCTCGAGATCCTTACAGTAGATGTCTTCTATAGAAACATGGCACACCCACTCGTTTTCACAACAAGGTAACAGTACTACAAGTGGAGTGCATAATGACTTGTTTTATAGCATATGAGTATATTAAAAGTACTAATTAATGCTCTGCAATTCCTCTGTAATGCTTTGCACTAGGTAGGGATTTTCTGTGTGTGTCTCTCTCTCTGAGGTTATGCCTTCAGCTCCCTTGTTCCTCCTTGAGCTTTAGTGGAATTTGGCTGATGTGCGCCGAGGGGAGGAGAGGAAGGAGGCGCTCATCTTGTTTCAGTGCTTTATGAGTCTGACGTGTTCGTCTGTAATTGCAGTTATGGGTGATTAAACTCTCAATGCCCCTCAGGATCCACAGCCAGCTATCAATCAGCGTCGGGCCGAGCTGCACAGCACTCAGATTGGTTCCTCTGTCTGTCTGTCAGATATCCTGCTTCATGCCGCTCTGTAACATAGCCGTATAGCGGAGCTGCAGTTTGCTATTTTCAAAATAGGCAAACACATGTTGCATTTCGAGTTTAATTAAGTGATTGTCAGAAAAGGGGAATGAACTGCAACTTTTCCATGAGGTGTCATCCTCCCTTGTTTATATTTTTCTGTTTAACAAAGCTGAGGCTTAACAAGCCTTAAGATAAGTCGGTTTGTGAATTCTTGACTTTACAGGTCACTTGCCAAGCAAAGTAGCCACTTAATGGTTAAAAATTGTAAACATTTTCTAATGTATTTTTAGTAGTTACATAAATACATAATATGTCATGTGCGAATAAAATTCCATTGAATAAATTGAGTGTTTAATTATTGTTTTTGCTCTTTTTTTTTAATATCCTCCTCATCTATGGGTTTCAGATACTTGCTGAAGCATATATGCGAGGCGCATCATCTTTTATAGTTTAACTCTAAAAGCCGATGTGTGTGGGTGGGTGGGTGTACGTGGGGCTTTTGAAATTAATAATCTGTTGATGGCTTCATGGTTTCTTTTATGTTTATGTATTCATACCCATGCTGTCATGCATGGCAAATCATTGCAGTGTGTTTGCATGTGTGGTAACATATTTATGACTTAAAACAATTGGTGGGTAGATAGGGGGATCAGGGGGTTGGAACTTAGGCCTGCTACTTGCTCGTCTAATTGGTGAGTGTTTGCATCTGTGTGTGTTTATGAAAAATGTGCAACTTATCTACAGAGGCAATATACAACCGCGGGAGTCTTGTCCTCCTCACTATCCTCCTCTGACACTCCAATGGCAAGAGGACAGCATTTTCTCAGCTGAGAGAAGATGGCAGCCAGGCATCTGAACATTCCCTATCGCAAGGATTTGAGTCCAAGCAAAACACTTCAGTATGTGTGTGGTAAAGAGGAGTGTGCCTGTTTGTGCAAGTTATCTGCCAGTGGCCTCCTCCCATTAGTTTGCTGATTTGGTTGAGCCCTTGTCTTCTGTTGAAGGTTGTGTGTTTTCATTTCTTTGTCTCCTCCTCTGTGTTGTACTTCTGGATGCAACAAGGATAAAGAAAAGAGTAATTCACACCCTCGTTGCCTTAAGGATCCTTGTTAGATATGGCAGAGTGACCTCACAGTGGAGGATGCAGTGCCAAGAGGGCAGGAAAAATAATTTTTCTCAAAGCAAAGGCAGAAATATGAAGAAAAGAAAATAGATTGAAGTGAAGAAATGACTCCTCTTGCACCACATCTAAAGCCTTTGGCTAGACTGAAGTATCTGTCTGGGTAAAGGGCAAAGTCTGTAGAAGTTACATACTGATTCATTTGTGAAAGCCCACATGGACACTAAACAGTATGAATACACTAAGACCTCATACACAGTGCCATTTTATTTTTTGCGTACTTGTCACACTAACATGTTTTAGATAATCAAACAGATTTTAGTATTAGACAATGATGACCTGAGTAAATACAAAATGAGATTTTAAATGACAATTTCCTTTATTAAAGGAAAAAAGCTCCAAATTTGAAATTGAAAAGCAATTGCCGCTATTGTTAAATCAAAGCTAACCACATTTGTCACAGACGTGTTGATTCAAGAAATCACGTACATAGAACCTGTCTGGTAAAAAAGCAACACATTATGCCACGAGCTAAAGAAATCCAAAAACAGGTAAGCAACAAAGTCATTGGCATTTGTCAGTCTGGATATTTCTGGGACTCCAGCAAACTACAGCGAGAGCCGTTATTTACAAATGGAGAACAGTGGTGAACCTTCCTATGAGTGGCCAGCCTACAAAAGAATGTCTCAATGGTCACAAAAGAACCCAGAACAACATCTAAAAAAAGTGAAGGTCTCACTTGCCTCAGTTAAAGTCAGAATTCATGATCTAATAATTAGAGATTCGGCAAAAAATGCCCCCCCCCAAAAAAAACAAACCCACTGCTGGATTCTGATAATTCTTGAAATTAAGAAGAGGTAAAAAAAGAAAAAGAAAATGTGGTGGTTCCCATCAAGATGTAAAAATATTCTATCGATGACGAGACTTTTTATTCCCGTTACATCTGGTGTAAAGCTGACACAGCATTTCATTAAAAGCGCTTCATCAAACATGTACCTGAATGATTTGCTGCAACACACCAGCAAGTATACCTCTGAATCGCTAAAAAACACAACAACCCCAAAACAAATGAAGGTTTCAGAGTGGTGCTAGAAAAACTTCCAATATGGTTGAATTAAAACAATTGTACAAAGAGTGGGATGAAATTCCTCCACAGCAATGTGAAAGACTAATTGTCTGTTATCCCAAATGCTTGTTATCCCAAATGCTGCGCAGTTCTTGCTGCCAAAGCAGGCACATCCAGTTATTAGGTTTAGGGGGCAATTGTTTTCTCATTTATAGACCAGATTGGTCCTGCGACTGACTAATGACTCCACCCCACTGTTTGCATGGATTTAAAAAAGAAGGAAAAAAATTAGGAAGGGACAAATAGTTTTCGCAGTACTACAGACTTGGTGTATAAGTGAGTATTTAAATTTTGTTTAATAAAAATAAGAAAAAATTGTAAGTGATCGGGTTGAGTGGTATGTTAAAAGCTTCCAGTCAGCTAATGTTGGTCCATCAACCGGTAATTCCCAGTGTATTTGTCAACAGCTAATGTATTTATCCTGTTAACCCTAGAATGCTGGATTGTTATCTCAATATGAGCATTGCTTCTGCATCTTATGAAGGCTTCAAGTTTTCTTTTAAATGTTTTTTTTTTGTTTGTTTTTTTAATATTGCAATTTGTGTTTTTGAGTCTATCAGTTTACTTTGGCTTTTCAGTGTGCAAAGGGGAAAAAAGCCCTTTAAGTTGGTGGAAAAACCCGAGCTGAAGCCTCTTTTGAAAGTTTTGCTGGGCAGCATGTGTTTGTTGGCAGACTGCCAGTGAAAATGCAAGAGAGGGGAAGTCAGCAGACTGGCTGTCTTCTGTTCACTGTTGTTCAGATTGACTCTGTCAGGCTGGCCTTTGAGGCCTGTAATCCAGGTGGTCTGTTCTTTGCGGCGCCCGCTTCCCTCCTCATCCTCCCTCTCTCCCTTCACCTCCGCTGCCCCATGCCCACAAACACGCCTGGCATCAGCGGCTTCCTCTCTGAGCAGTGGTGTCTTCCTTCCACCAATCACATGGCTCTGCAGTTATGGGCACATTGGTGTAAGCCAATGAACGACACCTGTTTTTCTCAGGAGTGGTTCTACATGCCAGTCATAACACCCACTTTATTTGGCCTCTGTCACAAAGCCAATCTCAACACGTAATTCACGGGCATCCAGGCCATGAGAGGCACAGGCAAGAAGAAATATGGATTTTAGCGATGGGGAAAGGACTTTCTTGAAAATTACTTTCCCAGCACAAATGTCACAGAAAATCTGTGCTGCATCATTGCATCATCGGAAAAAAGTATCATGCAGTAAAGGAACCTTTTGATAGGACTGAGGGATCATTGTTCGGTGGTAAGAGTGGAAGAATGACTCATTTTCTGCCTGAAAGCCTGAAAACTTTTCCCATGTTTCTGTGTACACCTGAGACTAGTCGAAGGGATCACATGTTTTAGCTTTTCCAACATGTATATGTTTTATTTTATTGCAAAGATTTTCCTTTTTCAAGCCTGGTTAAAAAACATATAGTAACTGTCACTTAAGAGCTGCTGTGGTGTTGTTAGTCGATGCCATTCAGATTTCTTTGCACTGGCCAAACGCAAACAAATTCCTGATAGTGAAGCTTTTTCAAAGCTTTGAAAAAGTCTTTGTGCTTCACAAAATAGCTTGTTATAAGGGTTTATTGTCTGTCATTGTAATTTTTTCTTAAGGTCAAGATTATGTATCAGATATCCGCTTTTACACAGTAACTTTTTTTTTCTTTTCAATAACGTTAAACGAAAGCAACCTGTGAATTTATGTGGTAAGTTTAACCTGGCTCTTCAGCCTTCAGTTTATAAAACTGTACTAAAACCTCACTTTAATAATACAAGTATTAAAGAAAACATATAAAGTGTATTTCTTTACCAAAATGGAGAAAAAACATTTGCATTAAAAAAACGATCCTTTTTTGTCCTTAAACTGTTGATTAAATATCTGACGCCATTGTAACCAACTCAATCTCAAACAAGACTTAATTTGAACAGGCTGCTTGATGGAAGTCATGGTTCACTAATGTTATGTTTATAGGTTACAATTGAAAAGCAGGGCTGTGAATCTGTTGGAAATAAAGAAGCACTTGCAATTGTATACAAGCATTATTGGAGGTTCTGCTTTAGCTTAACTCCCCTTAAATTTGGCTGGTCTTTGGCTTTTTCATCAACATTACACATTTTTTTGGTGTTGGGCTGCATATTATTTTTACATTCTTCCTTGAAAGCCACAATCTTCTGGACTTTCCAAGAATGATGTATAGGAAGGCAGAGAAATAACAACCTATGTGTGATTAGTGCTCTATAGGGACTTTTTTGTAGTTAACATGAACTTTTTAGAGTCCATTGTAACCTGGACCAAAATAAATATTCAATGGTGATTTTATATCTTGTGATTTTGATTTGAAAAGAATTCGGCTAGAGTATGGTATAGCAATTGAAATATGCAACAATATATTTTTGGGGCTGTTGTGGATGACAAATAAATCTTCAGTGACCAAGGACAGCCTTGAGTTGCTGAAGTTGATAACAGTAAATAATAGTCCTAGTTGCATGAACATAGCTTTTAGAGTCATTTCTATTACATTCTTGTAAAATAACCTTGACTGTGTGCTTTAGAAAACATGCAGAGCATACATAAGTGCATAGAATCAGTCAGTGGCAGATTCCTCTCCAATACCTCGAGATGCATCCGACTCGTTGTGTTTTTGTTTTGCTGATGCTGTGTAAACACAGGCTAGTAGTGGTAGTCGCATCCCTGGCAAAAGAAATGGGTTTTATAATGAAAGAACATGTTCAAAAGCACAAACATTAAGAAATAGAGAGAGAGCGGGAGACAGCAAGGCTTGGAAGCTGATCGAGGTATCAGTAGAGAGGAAAAAGAACTGGCAGCACTCTATCCAGTGTGTCTTCCCAGGACATAAAAGACTTGCTGCTCCGAACAGGGATTATCCTCCACCTCTGGGGAGTCCCTGTGATGAGCAGCAAAGGCAGAATAAAAGATGTGGAAAGACATTGAAGGAAACAGTAACAGAGGAGAGGAAGTATGGGGAAAAATTAAATGTGAAAGCATGTGCACTGGGGAGGGGTAAGACACATGCATCTATAGACTCTGATCCACATATATGTCAGCTCCACTTAAGGACCTGCAGATGCTCAAGATGCTTCAGTTGACCGTGTTTGCGCTTTCTTCTTTTCTTTTCTTTTTTTTCTGCAACCTCTCCCGACCCCATGAAAAATGTCCCATGCTGGTAATTCAGCCATGAGCCATATCCCTGTTTGACCTAGCATCTTCCTGAAAATCATCTCTCCAGGCTCAGACATTTTAAATCAAATGTGATCCGTCCTTTCTAGCAGAAAATACTTGTTGGAGATGCAGATTACAAAGGTCTACACTACAAAAACACAGATCTTAAGGATACCTGAAGAGAAATCATTTTGTGGTTAATGGTTAATGGGCTCTCCAACATGTCAGTTAGTCTTTGCAAAATCTTGCTAATAGGCAGACAAAAACACAGCACATGGCCATGACAACAGCTTGGCTTTCACCTTGATTTAAGAACAATTGTCTCTTTCATGAAATTTCCAAAGTTGTCGCTTGTATTCTTCTGCAGCAAATTTGCTACACAGGGCGGTGTTTAGATTTTCACTTGCTTAAATAAAATATGAGTTTTAGAACCAGCAGTGTCACTAAGCAGCTCTTTTGGAACTTGGCAGCTGAATTAATTGTTGGTTTGAAATAAAGCATTCAGGGGAGAAACGTTACGCTGTTGACACAAGCTGTTTGAGTTGTCCATCTGACTTATTTTGTTAATAATGGGCCAAAAGGTAATTGATTTTGTGTGTACTGGACAGACTGTCTGTGTGCAATAGAGCAAGAGAAGGGGGCGGATGGAGGCGTGGGGGTGGTAAGGTTGGGCCTCAGTCAATGCAACTATATTTTCATGATTTCGCTTGTTTGTTTTGGATACAGCGTGCCTCCGATCCTCTGGCCTGCAGAATTTTGTGTTTGTTTTCGGTGAGTCAATGCACTGATCCAAAGTACACTCCTCCAGTGACAGAACTGACAGAACACACACGCGTGTTCTTCAGGACACACAACCTCTGGTCTTATTGGAGCGCGTGTGTTCCCACCCAGTTTGCGAGGCCTCTTCCTGCAGCACGTACACACATAGTTTCCCATCACCCTCCGAGCGGCCCCCAGTGTTATAAGCTTTCTCTGAGAGACTTTCTCGCACTTTGTTTTCCTCCCCCATTTGAATCTCTGTTATCTATTTATGAATCTCTAGCCGCTCATTCTATGTGTTCATACATCGATCAGTCCATCTCTACCCATCATTCCCATTCCCTTCATCTCTGGCTTGTTCCCCAGAGGAAGAAGGAGAAGCAGTGGGGGGTGGGAGTAGGGCAGTTCCAGCTTACGGCCAGGAGCCAGCTCCTTCTCCATTTGGATTTCATTACAAACAGACCAGCACCTCACAGCTTACAACAAAAGAATAATCATCATAAGGGGAAAAATGAGAAAATAGAAGGTGGGTGGAAGACATCTAAAAGGCTTGTAATACAGTCAGTATATTTAATCTTTCCACTGGGACGGGAAATAAAGCTTTGGTGTTGATTCTGTGTCTCAGAACTAAATGTGAACAATCTACTTTTGTATTTTTGTATCTAGATTTGTGTAAGAGGACGATTACCATTTTTATAGGCTGACTCTGCAAATGAGTGCAGGGAGGGTGGACATAAGGCTCTGTGTGGGTCAACATCTGCCTTGGGCTAATTCCAGGTGTTGCAGAGAGTAAACAGCCACATAAACAGAGCCTAGACACACAGTGTTCAGCTTTTGAAGTGTTTCAGTGGTTCCTTGACACAAATGGAAGTCGTCAATCGCCCACTGTCTCCAAACACGTTAGGAAGTGACAAATTCCTCATCCTGATGTCACCAAAGGGTAGGGACAGTTTGTTTTTGCCGTCGTGGTAATTGGTATAATTAGTCATCAGTCACTGATGGCTTTATGACTCCACCGTAAATACAAGACACACCTAACATTTTCACTTCCACTCCTCCACATAGAATGCTGAATTTTTTTTAATCTTCTGCATTTACATTTATTTTCCCTGCTAGCAGTGTTTGTATTAACCTTTTAAAGACTGCTCTTCATTATTTACTTAGTTGTGATGGCTTTTTGCTGACTTTTATTGCAAAAATTGCAGAAAAAGATCAGTTAAAGTTTCTGGATTCATTTTTGACTAGCCTGAAGGTGAAATACAGAAATCCATTCAGCTGTTTAGTTGGTTTAAGCATATGGCTTTATTATTTGTAGTGTGGCTTGCAGTGTTCTTAAAAAGAAATACTGGC